TGAATCTTGGCTAAGGGATGAAAGTCAAATAACAAACCACAATTACAATGTATATAAAAACATCTGTTCAGGCCTACTATCAATCCTGTGTACAAAGACCACTCTTTTAGGGTATCCATAAATCTTTACATCAAGTCAGAGGAGTCCAATGGATCCAACTTCACTAGGATTGGTGGGATGGGTCTGGTTGGAGGATTTCCCCAATCTGGATCATTGATACCATCCAGAGATCACCTACCAATTAAACATTTTAATGGTGGAGACTGATACCCTCACATATGAACTTGAAAACCCAATGCATTCAAAAAAGCTTAGACCACCACCAACACCACATACAAATATTTCAAATCTATCTTTTATTCATTTTCAGAATGAATCTTGGCTAAGGGATGAAAGTCAAATACCAAAACACAAATACCATGTATATACAGTTGTGTCCAAAATTATTCAACCCCCACTGAAATTGAGTGTTTTGGCCAGTTTGACATTGCTTTTGATCATTCAGTCATCTTGCTTACATTTACATTAAAGAGGCACTTGTAGGTCAGACAAATATAACATAACAGTTATAATGAAATAACCACAAATGTCTTTTCTGTGCTCACAGCATTATCAGTTTTATTCAACCCCCAAGTGACATTCAATCTTAGTACTTAGTACAGCATCCTTTTACAGTTATAACAGCTTTTAAACGTGAAGCATAGCTTGACACAAGTGTCTTGCAGCGATCTACGGGTATCTTCGCCCATTCTTCATGGGCAAAGGCCTCCAGTTCAGTCACATTCTTAGGCTTGCGCACTGCAACTGCTTTCTTTAAGTCCCACCAGAGGTTCTCAATCGGATTTAAGTCTGGTGACTGCGATGGCCACTCCAAAATGTTCCAGCCTTTCCTCTGCAACCATGCTCTAGTGGACTTGGAGGTATGCTTGGGATCATTGTCCTGTTGAAAGGTCCAACGTCTCCCAAGCCTCAGGTGTGTGACGGACTGCATCACGTTTCCATCCAATATCTCCTGGTACTGAAGAGAATTCATGGTACCTTGCACACGCTGAAGCTTCCCTGTACCTGCAGAAGCAAAACAGCCCCAAAGCATGATTGACCCTCCACCATGCTTCACAGTAGGCAAGGTGTTCTTTTCATCATAGGCCTTGTTCTTCCTCCTCCAAACATAGCGTTGATCCATGGGCCCAAACAGTTCTAATTTTGTTTCATCAGTCCACAGAACACTATCCCACAACTTTTGTGGTTTGTCCACATGGCTTTTGGCATACTGCAGTCGACTCTTCTTATTCTTTGGAGACAGCAAGGGGGTACGCCTGGGAGTTCTGGCACGGAGGCCTTCATTACGCAGTGTGCGTCTTATTGTCTGGGCTGAAACTTCTGTACCCACATCTGACAAATCTTTTCTCAGTTCCTCAGCAGTCACACGGGGACTTCTCTCCACTCTACGCTTCAGGTAGCGCACAGCAGTCGAAGTCAGCATCTTCTTTCTGCCACGACCAGGTAGCGTTTCAACAGTGCCCTTTGCCTTGAATTTGCGAATGATGCTTCCTAAGGTGTCTCTTGGTATGTTTAACATCTTTGCAATCTTCTTATAGCCATTGCCCTTCCTGTGAAGAGAAATCACCTCTTCTCTTGTCTTCCTGGACCATTCTCTTGCCTTCACCATGTTTGTAACCACACCAGTAAATGTCTAGAAGGAGCTGAGTATCACAGTCATTTTAAAGCTGCCTAATTGGTGCTTATTATGCTTGATTGCTGCTCGGTGACATCCACAGGTGTTTTCAATACCTGATGGAAAGCACCTGTATGAACCTCTGTTCTTCAGAGTGGTAGTCTTTAAGGGGTTGAATAATTGTGGCAATGAAGAAACCACATAAGAACCATTTACTACTGTATTACATAAACAATTGATGTCATTTTAGTTGCATTTGGGTAGTTACAACGTCCTTGTAGGATTTGATTCTGAATACAATTCCAAATGTACACTATAGTCCCTAAACCCCTTTACAGCATTGGGGGTTGAATAATTTTGGACACAACTGTAAAAACATCTGTACAGGCCTACTATCAATCATGTGTACAATGACCACTCTTTTGGGGTATCCATAAATCTTTTACATCAAGTCAGAGGAGTCCATGGATCCGACTTCACTAGGATGGGTGTGGTTGGAGGATTTCCCCATTCTGGTGACAATTCAAAATTTGGGGTTTTACCTCACCTTCAATCCTGGTGATGACTGTCTTTGGAAAAAATAGGAAAATGATTCTCTAACCAGGCAGAAAAAAAAAAATAATCTGGATAATTGATACCATCCAGAGATCACCTACCAATTAAACATTTTTAATGGTGGAGACTGATACCCTCACATATGAACTTGAAAACCAATGCACTCAAAAAAGCTTACACCACCACCACCACCACCACCACCACATACAAATATTTCAAATCTATCTTTTATTCATTTTCAGAATGAATCTTGGTTAAGGGACGAAAGTCAAATACCAAAACACAATTACCATGTATATAAAAACATCTGTACAGGCCTACTATCAATCCTGTGTACAAAGACCACTCTTTTGGGGTATCCATAAATCTTTTACATCAAGTCAGAGGAGCCAATGGATCCGACTTCATTATGTGTATTATTCCTCAACAAAATGATTAATCTTTGCTTAAGAGTCCAGTTTATGAATATATATCTTCATAAGTCCAACCCAAGAATATTCATCTCTATGAATATGCCACAAGCATACTTATATAGACAAATATATGACTTTCCAATAACATGAGGAATCCAACATATCCTCATAAGTGCTACTTTCCACAAAGCAATATATGTTAATATAGGCAAGAAAGCATTGTCTTCAATCAATATGGAATAATAATGTCCGCCTCCCAGATATGGCTCTCCAGCAAGCGGATTGTGTCTGCAATCAATATAAAATGAGTTATATAGAGCCATAGTGTGTGAATACCCGATGCAACTGTAGATATGGAAGACATTACATGGCGAGATGGTATTGTTGATCTTATCCAGATCACGGAGAGTGCTTCTATGCTTATGCAATCTGTTTGGTGGAGAGCTACGTATATCTGTGAGGACTATCCTGCTTGTTTCATGTTGATTGCAGGCAGCGCTCTCCTGCCTATATCAACATATATTGCTTTGTGGAAAGTAACACTTATGAGAAGATGTTGGATTTTTCATGTTATTGCAAAGACATGAATTTGTCTATGTAAGTATGCTGGGGGCATATTGATAAGAAGATATGTTCTTGAGTTGGACCATCCTTTCTGAACTGGTGGAACCCTTGAAAACGTCTGAAGGCCTCAGGGAACCGCCACTTAGAATTTTATTCACAGCTTGCGACAGAAGTTACTTTGGGTGGGGGGTCCATGGAACCCAGCTCCCCTGTCTCGGCTCCCCATATCCCTCTTATGTGTAAGTCACCCTGTGCCTGTTGTGGGTACAGGGTGATCTGTCCTAATATTGTGTGGGCTTTGTCTCAGATTGTGTAGACATGTTTAGGAGATAGGTGGGGTGGGGGGTTGTGGATTGTCATATATATATATATATATATATATATATATATATATATATTATGTTTTTTATTGTGTTTTACATGTGCCTTTTAGGTGATATCAATTTAGATAAAAATTCAAATTCAATTAAATGATCAAAATTAAAATGAATACAAGGTAAATCTTAAAGATCTGTATGTGGCCGTGTCCAGGGGCGGACTGACAACTCATGGGGCCCCCGGGCAATAGGGGATCATGGAGCCCCTGTGTCCTTGCCCAAACTCAAAAAAGCCTATGAAAAAGATACCAGGGGCATCTCATGGGGCCCCCTACTGACCCCGGGCCCTCGGGCAGTGCCCGAGTTTCCAAATGGTCAGTCCGCCCCAGGCCGTGTCTGTGTAAGCCTTTTGTTTGAGTATATTCTATTTTCAAGCAATACAAACTTGAGTGGGCACCTAACCCCGCAAAATTCAAAACGAAAAACAAAAAAATTGGGGGCTGTAAAATAAATACAAAAATTCATGAGAGACGAAAGAAAATCATAATATAAATACAAATATTCATGGCCGATGAAAGTCAACCACGACACCCACCTATAACTCAATCCAAATTTTTTTGGCAAGCCTACAAGCAGTTTTAAATTTGGAAAATATCTGAGCAGGGATATAACAATCTAAATATCATATAGAAAAATTGGGGGCTGTAAAATAAATACAAAAATTCAGGAGAGATGAAAGAAAATTATAAAATAAATACAAAATTTCACAAAAATTCAGGAGAGACGAAAGAAAATCATAATATAAATACAAATATTCATGGCCGATGAAAGTCAACCACGAACCCACCTATAACTCAATCCAAATTTTTTTGGCAAGCCTACAAGCAGTTTTAAATTTGGAAAATATCTGAGCAGGGATATAACAATCTAAATATCATATAGAAAAAATTGGGGGCTGTAAAATAAATACAAAAATTCAGGAAAGACTAAAGAAAATTATAAAATAAATACAAAAAATCACGAGAGACGAAAGAAAATCATAATATAAATACAAATATTCATGGCCGATGAAAGTCAACCACGAACCCACCTATAACTCAATCCAAATTTTTTTGGCAAGCCTACAAGCAGTTTTAAATTTGGAAAATATCTGAGCAGGGATATAACAATCTAAATATCATATAGAAAAATTGGGGGCTGTAAAATAAATACAAAAATTCAGGAAAGACGAAAGAAAATTATAAAATAAATGCAAAAATTCACACAAATTCATGAGAGACAAAAGAAAATCATTAAATAAATACAAATATTCATGGCCCATGAAAGTCAACCATGAACCCACCTATATAACTCAATCCAAATTTTTTTGGCAACCCTACAAGCAGTTTTAAATTCTGAAAATATCTGAGCATGGATATAAAAATCTAAATATCATATAGAGCCAATGACTATTTTCTCTTTCTTGTTCACTTGTAGATCTTGTCACTGCGTCCGGGAGCCTTGATAGCGATGGAGACTCCGCTTACGGTAAGTTATCTATATTTTTGCTTACATTTTTTTTTAAAAATCACCCTCTCCTTCCCATTCTCCGCTCCCCTAAAAGTCTCTGCTTCATGTCTTCATTTGTGTGCTATCTAGTTGGCTTCAACCCACCCCACTGTAGTAGAGAGAGAGAAAGAGGGAGAGCATGCCAACCAGATAGGATAACAATCAGCAATCCGTCCAAGCTTGCACTTGTCCAAAAAATGTGAATCCTGAAGCCTCCAATATAGTTTAGCTTTACGTGAGCCAACGTTGACAATCAGCCAACAGTGGTATATGTCAGTCGTAAGGCATCGGGCAACTAAATTACAATATTAACAGAATTATTGCTCACGAGTAACCCAAAACCCACACCGATGACTCACCAGTTTGGTGGAGACCAAAAATGAAGTCATCAGAAATCACCAATCGGTTCTTGAGCCTCCATCCAGATCTGCCTCTGGTTAGAGATTGCTAGTAAGGACGAGCTAAGGAACCTACTTGCCCCACCTCAGGGTTGCATAGTTGGTCAAGTAAAAAAATAAGGCAAAGCCCATCTAGTTCAACCAATAGAAAAAAAAATAAGTAGAGTAAATAAATTGAAAAACTCCATATACAGAATTCTATAACCTCAACTGATCCCAAAAAAAAAAAACCCGCCCTATAAAGCATGGTCCAGCTTTGAAGAACTCTGTTGCAAAGTTCTTTGCTTTGCGGCCCTGTCCATTCATTCCTATGGCTTGTTTGTATTCACGGCGGCCACTGGTGATCTAGAGGACTAAGACTTCAGCCATGGGAATCAATGGGCTGAGTGGTGTGCTCGTGCAATAGGAGCCAGACGTGGTGGGGACCTCTTTCTATGAAGGTTGTGCCCTGTCCATTCATTCCCATGGCTTGTTTGTCTTCATGGCGGCCACTGGTAATCTAGAGGACTAAGGCTTCAGCCATGGGAATCAATGGGCTGATTGATGTGCTCATGCAATAGGAGCCAGACGTGGTTGGGACCTCATTCTATGAAGGTTGTGCAGCACTGGACAGTCATGACCAGGGGGCTGAAGGTCATTATTTGGGTAGGTGTCTTTAACTCAAGGGAACTTTTAATGGACAACTTGTCTTTTAAATGTTCTCCCAACTCTCCTGAATGGCAAACACCTACCCAAATAATGACCTTCAGCCCCCCGGTCATGACTGCTCAGTGCTGCACAACCTTCATAGAAAGAGGTCCCCACCACATCCGGCAGAATGTGTACACCACTCAGGTAGGTGTTTGTCACTCAGGGGTACTTTTAAAGGACAACTTGTCTTTTAAATGTTCCCCAACTCTCCTGAGTGGCAAACACCTACCCAAATAATGACCTTCAGCCCCCCGGTCATGACTGTTCACTGCTGCACAACCTTCATAGAAAGAGGTCCCCACCACGTGCATCAGCATGTGTACACCACTCAGGTAAGTGTTTGTCACTCAGGGGAACTTTTAATGGACAACTTGTCTTTTAAATGTTCTCCCAACTCTCCTAAGTGGCAAACACCTACCTGAGTGGTGTACACATGCGGCCGGACATGGTGGTGGGGACCTCTTTCTACAAAGGATGTGCAGCACAGAACGGTCATGACCGGGGATGAAAGTCAGTATTTGGTTAGGTGTCTTTCACTCAGTGGGGTAGTTAGAACATTTAAAAGATATTGTCATTTGTTGTCAGATGTTGTCATTTAAATATTCGGTCCTCCCCCAAGTGGCAAACACCTACCTACAGGCATAATTTCTGCCCTACTTCAGAGTTACACAGTTACCCTCAGTTGATCCAGAAGAAGGCAAAAAACCCTATACATCCATTTTTGAAGAATCATATTATAGAATTCTTCACTGTCTTGCCCTGACTATTCCTTGCTATGGCCGGTCTGTATTCATGGAGGCCCATGGCCATCTAGAGTATGGCTTGGGCCATGGGAATCAACAGGCTGAGCTCTGTGCAACAGGAGCCAAACACGTGGTAGGGACCTATTTCTACAAAGGTTGTGCAGCACTGAACAGTCATGACCGGGGCTGAAGGTCAATATTTGGGGGTTGAAGTCTGTAACCCAGGCATGTTCGGAGAACATTTAAAAGACAAGTTGTCCTTCAAACGTTCCGCCCTCCTCCCTGATTGTCAAGTAACTACCTACGTCCGTAACTTCTGCCCCACTTCAGAGTTACACAGTTAAAAAGACACAAGTCCATCCAGTTCAACCAACAAAAATAAATAAATGGAAAATCTCCATATATAGACCCTCAGATGATCCAAAGGAAGACAAAAAAAACCCTATAAAGCATGGTTCCATTTTGAAGGACTTTGTTGCAAAGCTCTTGACTGTGCAGCCTTACTCATTCATTCCTATGGCCAGTCTGATAGTTGAACTGGATGGACTTTTGTCTTTTTTCAGCCAGACTAACTATGTAACTATGTAACCCATTCATTCCTATGGCCGGTCTGTATTCATGGTGGCCCCCAGCCACCCAGAGGAGTATGGCTTTAGCCATGGGAGTCAATGGGCTGGGTGGTGTACACATGCAATAGGAACATGATGGGAACCTCTTTCTACAATGGTCCTACAGCACCGAACAGTCATGACCAGGCTGAAGGTAAGTATATGGGTAAATATCTGCCTCTCAGGGGGGTTGGAAGAACATTTGAAAAACAAGTTGTCCTTCAAACGTTCCACCCTCCTCCCTGATTGTCAAGCAACTACCTACATCCGTAACTTCTGCCCCACTTCAGAGTTAGAGTTAAAAAGACACAAGTCCATCCAGTTTAACCAACAGAAATAAATAAATGGAGAATCTCCATATATAGACTCCTATACCCTCAGATGGTCCAAAGGAAGACAAAAAAAAAGCTATAAAGCATGGTTCCATTTTGAAGGACTTTGTTGCAGAGCTCTTGACTGTGCAGCCCTACCTATTTATTCCTATGGCCGGTCTGTATTCATGGTGGCTCCCAGCCACCCAGAGGAGTATGGCTTCAGCCAAGGGAGTCAATGGGATGGGTGGTGTACAAATGCAATAGGAACATGATGGGAACCTCTTTCTACAAAGGTCGTACAGCACCGAACAGTCATGACTGGGCTGAAGGTAAGTATATGGGTAGATAGCTGACTCTCGAGGGGGGGGGGTTGGAAGAACATTTGAAAAACAAGTTGTCCTTCAAACACTCCACCCTCCTCCCTGATTGTCAAGCAACTACCTACATCCGTAACTTCTGCCCACTTCAGAGTTACACAGTTAAAAAGACACAAGTCCATCCAGTTCAACCAACAGAAATAAATAAATGGAAAATCTCCATATATAGACTCCTACACCCTCAGATGGTCCAAAGGAAGGCAAAAAAAAACCCTATAAAGCATGGTTCCATTTTGAAGGACTTTGTTGCAGAGCTCTTGACTGTGCAGCCCTACCCATTCATTCCTATGGCTGGTCTGCTGGTTGAACTGGATGGACTTTTGTCTTTTTTCAGCCAGACTAACTATGTAACTATGTAACCCATTCATTCCTATGGCTGGTCTGTATGCATGGTGGCCCCCAGCCACCCAAAGGAGTATGGCTTCAGCCATGGGAGTCAATGGGCTGGGTGGTGTACACATGCAATAGGAACATGATGGGAACCTCTATCTACAAAGGTCCTACAGCACCGAACAGTCGTGATTGGGCTGGAGGTACATATATGGGTAGATATCTGCCTCTCGAGGGGGTTGGAAGAACATTTGAAAGACAGGTTGTCCTTCAAATGTTCTGCCCTCCTCCCTGATTGTCAAGCAACTACCTACATCAGTAACTTCTGCCCCACTTCAGAGTTAAACAGACACAAGTCCATCCAGTTCAACCAAGCAAACTTAAATAACAACCAACAAGTTCAACCAACCAAAATAAATAAATGGAAAATCTCCATATATAGACTCCTATACCCTCAGATGGTCCAAAGAAGACAGAAAAAAAACCCTATAAAGCATGGTTCCATTTTGAAGGACTTTGTTGCAGATCTCTGGACTGTGCACCCCTACCCATTCATTCCTTTGGCCGGTCTGTAGTCATGGTGGCCCCCAGCCACCCAGAGGAGTATGGCTTCAGCCATGAGATTCAATGGGCTGGGTGGTGTACACATGCAATAGGAACATGATGGGAAACCTCTTTCTACAAAGGTCGTACAGCACCGAACAGTCGTGACCGGGCTGAAGGTATGTATATGGGTAGATATCTGCCTCTCAAGGGGGTTGGAAGAACATTTGAAAGACAAGTTGTCCTTCAAACGTTCCACCCTCCTCAACTACCTACATCCGTAACTTCTGCCACACTTCAGAGTTACACAGTTAAAAAGACACAAGTCCATCCAGTTCAACCAACAACCAACCAAACTTAAATAACAACCAACAAGTTCAACCAACCAAAATAAATAAATGGAAAAAATCTCCAAATATAGACTCCTATACCCTCAGATGGTCCAAAGGAAGACAAAAAAACCCTATAAAGCATGGTTCCATTTTGAAGGATCTTTTAGGTCCTAACGTACTTAACGTGCAGAGCTCATGACTGTGCAGCCCTACCCATTCATTCCTTTGGCCGGTCGGTATTCATGGTGGCCCCCAGCCCCCGGAGGAGTATGGCTTCAGCCATGGGAGTCAATGGGCTGGGTGGTGTATACATGCAATAGGAACATGATGGGAACCTCTTTGTACAAAGGTCCTACAGCACCGAACATTCGTGACCGGGCTGAAGGTACGTATATGGGTAGATATCTGCCTCTCAGGGGGAGGGTTGGAAGAACATTTGAAAGACAAGTCGTCCTTTAAACATCCTTCCATTCAAAATTTGGGACCCAGCAAGGACTTCTATCCCTTTCCACCACCCTTCTAAAACGATCGAAAAATTTATTTTCAATCTAACGTGGCACAGAGTATAAAATAACGTTTTAATCGTTCCAAATTCTTTGTGGGTCGCCAGTCAGGGGGACATCTTTTAGGTCCTAACACCCCGA